TTAATAGATGATAGGGGCTTTTCACCCAGTTCCAAAAACCCTAGAGGTGTAATAGGTCATTTTTAAATTATGGTTACGTCATGTTGCTTAGCTAGCTCCAGGATAACTGATTGTTTTCCCTAGACTGTTTGTTTTGCTTGTGTATAACCCTTTTGTTAGGTTTGGTTTCCCCATACCAATCATGTGGTTTTTGCCTTTCTAAGCTTTGTGCTAGTTACACTCAGGGCTGCAGGTTCTTTAGGACATAGTCCACTTATAGTCGCCAGTTTTCTAATAAGGACTCTTGATTCAACCTCTTAAAGTGTGGTTTCTCTGTATCTCACTGATCCAATTCCTGTATAACACTTGGAAGCCCCACCGAGATCCCAGGGCTAACATGGCACTTGGGTCCCTTGAAACCACTGGCAGGTAGCCTTGGAGATTGGGCTAGGGAGGATGGGCACTCCACAGGGGAGGCACCCCCTGACATGTTCTAGGACCTTGTGGCCTTTCTTCCACTCCAATAACATGCCTGACATGCTACTAAATCAGGAATTACTCAGGAGACCTCCTGAGGTAAGTTCCTATTTTTAACTATTTCTGTTTTTTGGAGATGGAGCTTTCTGGGCTATTGTAGAAGGGGATCCAATGTAATACAAATACAATGTAATACAATCCATTTGTATGCTAATGTGCCTTGCTTACAAAGCTGCCTAAACATATTGTGTTTGGTTATGTAAGTCTTGGTTATCCTTAAGAGGAAGAGATTCTGTTTGTTGGCAAAAGTATTTGTTTTTCTAACACTGACCCTGTGGTTCTATAGTGCTATGGGCAAAATATATTTTGTCATTGGAATTCCAGGAAACTTACAGCTGGTGTTCATTTTTAAGACTAAGCATGGTTTAAGACCTTTGTGCAAAAGAGTGTATGTGTGTAAATATGTTCAAAGTAGTCTGGTATTTTGATACAAAACCTGTCAGCATGGTGTGAGTAAAAGTAGTCTTTTCTATCAAACCGAAGTGCTTCTATTTTGTAGGTGATTTTTTTTTGGTATTGATATTTCCTGAAATTGTTTACTTTTTCACTTCAATTGTAACTATTTTCTATGCTGCTTGTGACCAGCTGCCAGCTGAGGAATGTGAATCTTGGGTAGAAGGAGTTAACTGCCAAGTGTGCTGGGTATTACAGAAGAGTTTTTACCAATGGAAGCAGCAGTAAAAGGAATGAGATTCCCTTTGGAGTGGGAGCTTTCCACTCACCTCTTCCTCCTCCAACTGCATCTGCCAGCCACCAAATTCCCAGCCCCACTCCCAGCCAGCTGTGATGGAGAAAACTGTAAACCTTTAAAAAAAAGTTAGAGAATAGGCCCTTTTTTAATCTTGGTAATCAATCATCCTTACAATGTGAACCTAACTCCTTGACAAGGAGAAGGGACAGGTTGGATTGGGATAAAAACTTAGCAAACTGCTCTGCCCAGTGTGCCTGCATAGCTCTGGGTAGAGTAAGGGTATTGCACCCTTTTGAACAAAAGTAAACTTGCCTTGACTAAATTCCCTGTATCACTTATGTGTCAATTTATTCATTTCTGACACCAGAGAGTCATTCTGCAAATCTAAAGTAACCAAAAATTAAATGGGCTCCACAGGCCAAAAAGAAAAAAAATGGGCCGTTTTAAACTCAAATCGTAAAAGTCATCAGATTTGGGTGTGAACAAATATGTCAAAGAGTTATTACATTACATTAAGAAAAGCTATGTTGAGTTCAAAATTTTCTAGGAAGTAATCTAAAATATAAATTAAAGAATACCAGTAAGGAGATAAAGGAATATAAAGAAAAAGAAGTTAATAAGGAAAGTTTTGTGAAAGGGAATTGAGGAAACAAAACTTATCCTTTAGATAAGAAAGAGTTTGGGAAGGAAGAAATGTCTTAAATGTTTGTTTCAAAATGGAAAAAAGGAAAAATGAACACTAACCACAGAACACTTGAGTAACAGATAGTAAATGGCTCCTCCTAGCATCCCAAAGGATAAATATGGGTGGCAGGATACACTCTCTCTAGGACTCTGCCTTTCTGCTTGTTTGTTTGTTATCAATAAAGTTCTGCAAAGTTTACGAAGTAAACAGTGCATAGTTGGTATGTAATTAAGTTGACTATGATTTCAAAACTTATCTAAAGATTTTTCCTAAGGTCAAAATTAATACACTAATGTAAAACCAGTATCCCAGTCTTTATGTCCATCTATGAAAGTAATTGTTTAAGTGTTTACGTCAAGGTCCATCAAATGATTACATTTTAAATGAGTATGTAAAACTAAAAAGCTAATATGTGTGTTTCCCAAATTTTATTTATTTTTGTCGGTTGTGGGGTTTGAACTCTGGGCCTAGATGCTGTCCCTGAGCTCTTCAGTGAGTGGTCTACCATTTGAGCCACAGTGCCACTTCTGGTTTTCTGGTGGTTTATTGGAGATAAAAGTCTCATGGACTTTCCTGCCCAGGCTGGCTTTGAACCATGATCCTCAGATCTGTCTCCTGAGTAGCTAGGATTATAGGCATGAACTACAAGTGCCCGGCTATTTCTGAAATTTTTAAGCCACCTTGGATACAGAGCTCCTGCATTCTTTGTTGCAATAAAAAAAAAAGTGACATCTACAATGTTTTTAATCTTTTTGTTGTTGTTGGTCGTGGGCTTGAACTCTGGGCTTGGGCACTGTCCCTGTGCTCTTCAGCTCAAGGTCAGAGCTCTACCGCTTGAGCCACAGCACTACTTCTGGTTTTCTGGTGGTTCATTGGAGATAAGTCTCATGGACTTTCCTGCCCAAGCTGGCTTTGAACCACGATCCTTAGATCTCAGCCTCCTGGGTAACTAGGACTACAGGTGTGAGCCACTGGTGCCCGGCTTGGTTTTAATCTTAATTAATATCCTAAACTGCTATTTATAATAAAAAAAACTAACTTGTTTAATTAGTTACTGTTTTAAAACTTTAATAATGACTGCTGTTAAGTCCTGTTATTATAGATTTGATCCTTTGCAACATTTACAGTCAGACCCACAGAGGGATAAATAACTCTTACAAGTATTTATTGGTCAAACTTAACTTTTATTCTTAATAAATTTAAGGTAAGCCCTGCTTATAAACGAATTCTATTGATTTCCTGGTTGCCTCAATTGGAAATAAGAGGGTCTATTGGCACTGACTTTCACCCAACCTGCCATTCTTGCCCCCTCTAATGGAAGATGTGGCCAACTGGGACAGCTCATCTCAGCAACAAGTAAACTACACTAACTAGGACATTATCCCAGAAAGGATAAGGAACCTCGAAGATCCACCCCAACAATCCTGGTGACTAGGGACCATGAGAGGTGGTTGGAAAGAACTGCTCAGATAAGAGGGAATGGTGTCTGATCCTGAATGGAGTCACTTGTGCTTGTCCCTTCAAAAGTATTCAAAGCCAGAGAGCAAAAGAAAATAGTTCATAAGCATGTGTATCATGCCCATAACTGTCTACCTCTTGGAGTTAGGATAGCTTGCCTTAGCATCTTCCTGTGTCTCCCATCCATACTAGGCAGACATTTATATACAGGAAACGATTAATGCCTCCCACCAGGCCCTTATCCACTCCAATCCATCCCTAGCCTCTGACTGTTGGAACTGTACAAAGCCAGGCCCCGTACAATATCTGGGTGTTATTCTTAACCAGTCTACCATGCTCTCCCCTACCCAGTTGCCAGAACCTTAGACACTCCCTTCCTTCCCCAGTCTAGTTATATGGAAATTCTTCCTGTAATGGGCCACAACTGGGTTTGTGCTCCAAATGGAACTTTTCTGGCTTGTGGTGAAGGTGTGTTCTCCTGTGTCATTCATATCAACTGGTCGTACCGCCTTGTCAGCCTTTTGCCTGATCTCAACTCAATTGTAGGAGAATCTTGGTGGATGATGGGAATCACTCCAGTGGACATCCTGGTAGGATTCCCTCTCATAGTGGTCCCCCTGGCTGGCTCCTCTATTAGGACCTGTAACAGACATCCTCTTACTCCTTCTTGGACCTTGTTTTCTTAACCTTTTTCAAAGGTTTCTATTTAACAGGATAACAGCCCTCACTCAGGACACAAACTGGGAGCAAGTCAAGGCCATTCTATTACTGCAGGCAACTGGAGGCTTCATTTACACTGCCTTGGGCTGGGAAGGTGGCTCAGTGGTAGAGCACTTGCCTTGCATGCCTGAGGCCCTGGGTTCGATTCCTCAGCACCATATAAGCAAAAAGAAAAAAAAGAGCCGGAAGTGGCACTGTGGCTCAAGTGGTAGAGTGCTAGCCTTGAGCTGAGGGACAGTGCCCAGGCCCAGAGTTCAGGCCCCACGACCGGACCCAAAAAAAAAAAGAAATCATTTATACTGCTCTGCCCTGCCCAGCACAGATCCAGATCCTAAAGACCCCAGCCCCAGGGATTCCTCCACATCTCCATGTCAGCAGGAAGTAGCCAGAAAAGACCATGATGTATCTCAACTTTTTCATACCTTTTCAGGGTCTCAAATGATGAAAATCTGCTTTGTTCTCATAACCCCATGCTCCTATGGCCCACTGACCACCCTCCCCTAGCGACCCCTCGTGATTCTCAGGAACTTTACCCTTGACCTTATCTGAACGTGCAGGATTGTCAGCATCAGAAGGACACCCCTACCATAAATCCCCGACACAACAGGACAAAGGCATTCTAAAGAAGGATCTCATGCTTGCATGTATAAAAACCTAACACCCTCTACACTGCAGCAATGATTAAAGCCTGTTCCTGAGGTCTCTGCCTTCTTTCTGTCCTTTTGTCCACTTGATCTTTTCTCACACTCATGACTCAGTCGCCTAACAGGTATAAAGTTCCAGTTTTGCAAGATGAAAAAATGTTCTGGCAACAAGTTCAACAGCAATGTCAAAATATTTGACAGTGGTGAACTATACATTTGAAAATAGATAAGATGGTAAAACTTCTGCCACATTAAAAACAAGGCAAACTCAAAATTTGCTACTTACCGCATTCTGTTATTGATTTTTATTTTAAACATTCCTTATGGCTTTAATGTTTGGTTGGAACAAGCTGTCTTGACACTATGAAGAGAAATCAAAGAATGTTCAGTGAATTTTTGTTTTTTTGCTTAACCAGCAGGAAATTAGCAAATGCTTTTTAAAAATTTTATTATGAAAATACTGTACTGAGGGGTTACAATTACATGAGCAAGGTAATCAAGCATAATTATCAAGCTTATCAATGCTTATCAAGCATTGTTGCCTCCTCCTTTGTTTCCCCTTAGCATCCCTGCCAGCAAATGCTTTGAATTATCTTCAAGTTATAATTTTCTGTTATGCTTTCTCAAAATGACCTCTAGGCAATGAGGTAGGTAACGACTTTTTGCTCGTTGGTGCTAACACGGCTATATTTTGCTTACATCTTTCTTTTGAGGATCTGGAAGCAAAATAAATTGACATCATTTCCACTATCTAATGCTTACACATTTAAAATCCAGAGTATACAGGCAAGGGAGCAGAACCTCTTATTATGTCAACAATTTGCATTGGAATTCAATTTCTAAATTCCATGCATGTGTACTCTTATTTACTACCACAATTCCTTTTTATACCAGCAGCAATCCACAGGCATTCAACTGGAAGAATTAAAATAAGCCCCCCATCCCCTCCAAGGAAAAACTGCAGGGTCTAAAACAGGGTTGTAGATAAATAAATGACAGGGTGGAATCCTTTCCATTCTTGCTGACCATTGCTAAAAGGAGCTGGATTTTTTTTTTTTAAATCCATGTAGTGTATTTGCAGCAATAGATGATATCAAAATATTTAAAACTTCAAAATAGAATACATTTACTAGTTTCTGCATCTATTTAGTTTATACTTTGACAAACCCACTTCATCTTGTAACCTATGAAAGAAATGAGAATTCTGACTAGAGTCTTCCAAGATACTTTATTGATTAAAGAATGGCAAGATAATTACCACCAAAATAGTGTTGAAGAATCAATTCTGGTTTTCCAAGGTCACGCTTTTTCATGGTAAAAATTATTGCAAATGGGCTGGGAAGTTGGCTCAGTGGTAGAGTGCTTGCCTCCCATGCATAAGGCCCTAGGTTTGATTCCTCAGCACCACAGAAAAAAGCTGGAAGTGGCGCTGTGGCTCAAGTGGTAGGGTGCTAGCCTTGAGCTGAAGAGCTAAGGGACAGTGTCTAGGCCCAGAGTTCAGCCCGCACAACAGGCCCCCCCCCCCGCCTCCCCCCAAAAATCATTGTAGAGGCAAAGGAATGAATTAGTATTTTCAGAAAAACTCATTCAGTGTCAGACTCCTCTACCTCCCTTTCTTCACATTTTTCATTATAAAATATTTCCAGGGAAACAATTTCAGCTTAGTTAGCTTTATGGTCCCAGTACCCAGCCCTACATATGGTAAATATTCATTGAATGACTGGATGAATCCCACTTAGACATGACAACATGTATAGGTTAACATGTATGGGACAAGTTAGTTTTTCAAGATGTAAATGTGAAGCACAGCAGAAAAATTTTGCTCACAGAACTTTTCCTGATTTAAACATGTTATGAACAAAAGTGCCTTCAGTGTTAAGTACTGGTGGTCGTCGTTCATGTCCATTAATCCTAGCTACTTAGGAGGCTGAGATAGGAGGCTTGAGGTTGGAAGCCAGCCTAGTCAAGAAAGTCCACAAAAATCTTATCTCCAAAAGAAATTAGATGTGTGAAGCTGCGGCTCAAGTGCTAAAGCATCAGCCTTGAACAGAACAAGCTAAGGGACAGTGCCCAGGTGTTGAGTTCATTGTTGAACTTGGTTGTTGAATGCTGTCCCAAATTTAAGAGATGTGAGCAGCACTGCTACTTTTTTAAATGAGAAGATTCTCATGGGAATCCCTATTTTTATATCTTTGGGAATGTGAAAATTTGGGAGGCTCTGGAAACTGATAAAAGGGGAAAAGTTAAACTTTGTTTTTTATTTTTCCAGTGTATTTCGAAACTATTTGGTAAAAGATAATGCAGGTTTCTCCATAAACCAGCTAAGCAAATTCAATTGGTACAAGGGAAAATACAACATTTCTTTTCAAAGGCAGGATATAAAAGCAGGTGCTCATATTGCAGCTGACCTTGATGAGTTCAGAACATGCTGGAAATCAATCGCTGGAATGTGATTATTGATATATGTTACTGCTCACATCATATGGAAATAAAGCCGTTCTGGAGGAGGAAAAAAAAATCCAACTGTAATGGAAATACTTCTCATTAAACTACCTTGTCTGCATCTCCTTAAGGGTTTTCCCAGCAATGCAGTACAGTAAAATTCAAAGTCGACTGCAAAATGTGAAAGCCTTCTTTTTAAAAAAACAAACAAACCACAAAACAAGTGAATGCTGCTAAATGAAAATGATTTCTGCCCAAATTATAATGCGAAGGAAAGCAAAAACCAAGGGCTCCCCCACCCTGAACTTACACATATGCTTTCTACACAGCAGTTTTAAAACATGAACATTAAAAAAACTCCAAACCCTGCAGAGTATCTTCAAAAACCAAGCCACTGAATTACTGGACGAAGTTCCCCCAGAAATGAAGGGTAAAAGGCACACACGCTCAGCGCGGCCCCCCCCCGCGGCCCCCCACAGCCCCCCGCAGGGGAAGGCGCACGGCCCCCGGGTGTCCGCTCACCGCAGCGGGCCGCGCACTCACTCGTTCCTTCGCAGCTCCGGGACCTCCCACGGCTTCGGCGTCTGTCCGGCTTGCTTTTTTTTTTTTTTTCTTTTTCCCACCCCTTTTAAAATTTAATCTTTTTCTGGGGTTTTTTCTTCCTCTAAGCCAAGCAGCGTGGTGGTTTTATTCCGGGACCGGTCGCCGGAGAGGCGCCTCCCGCCCGCAGAGAGCGCGCGGGGACCGGAGGGGGGGGGAGGGGGGAGCGGGAGGAGGGTCCCCGGAGTGGCCACCCCCCTCCCTCCCGTGACGCTCCACTTCCTGTTACACTAAAGGTATCCCCGAGAAGCTGGGTCTTGTAGTTTCCAACCCCAGCTCCCAAACAGCCAGTCCCGCTTCACCCCCCCCATCCCACCCCACCCCTCAATTTCTCCTAGGTAACAATTTTTAATCCTGCACGTGACACACCACCTGATCACAGCCGATCGTTTCCCCCGGGAAGGCTCCCCGGAGGCGTGTGTGCCGCGATCCGGGGCGGGGAGGAGGGGAGGCCTGCTGGAGGGGGTCACCCTGGGGTTGGGGTGTATGTGGGGGTCACTCCGCCGCACCCCACGTGGCCGGCTTCTGCCGGCGTCTGCCACTGAGATCCTGGATGGTGGTGGTGGCGGCTGCCCCGGGAATGACCTGGAAGTGAAAGGGACCTTGAGGATTTGGGGGTGTCGTGGGGTTGGGAACACGGAGGAAGCAATGCGTGCACGAAGCTCAGTGCGACGGCCTCCGCGGATCCCTGCGTGAGGGAGTTCTTCTAACTACTCACTGTCACCGCACTGGTGACTCCCGAGCACAGGCAGCACAGCACGTGGCCTCTAGCCACGCTACCCAAGGGTACACTGTAGCGGGTTAAGGGAGAAAGGGCAGTACCGAGCAACTAACTGGAATCCGGGATTCCAAACCCCGCTCAGCAAGTCTCACTTCCTTGCAACCCGCCTCGGGCCACGCCCACGTCCGCAGAGGCCCCGCCCACCCCGCGAAGACGCCTCCCGTCACCGCGGAGGCCACGCCCACCGGCCTGGAAAGCAGCCACGGAGGCCCCGCCCCACGTCCCCGCCTCCCCCTTTCCCGTCCCAGGACGCGTTGCGCGTCCGAGACCGGAAGTCGGCGGGTTCCCGGGTGCGTGTCCGTGTGTGTGTGTGTGTGTGTGTGTGTGTGTGTGTGTGTCTGTGTCTCGCGGCGGCGGCGCGCGGCCTCGGCCCCCGGCCGAGCTCTCGGGGTTCCCGTCCTGAGGGGCGTCGCCCGCTGTCACTGTCACCACCCCGCGGAGCCCCTGCGGAGGGGAGCAGGCCCGGCCCTGTCGCCGGGCGGAGAAGATGCTGCCTCTGTCCATCAAGGATGACGAGTACAAACCACCCAAGTTCAATCTGTTCGGCAAGATCTCGGGCTGGTTTAGGTGCGGGGGGCTGTGCGTGCGCGGAGCGGGGTGGGGGCGGCCGCGAGGGAAGACTCCACGCCCGAGGGGGGCCCGGGGAGGCAGATGTGGAGAAGGGCGTGCTTGTCCCGTGGGGGGAGGGAGGGGAAGATCTGGAAAATGGGGGACCCTGCTTCGGTGGGGGGGGGGAGGTCGGTCCCATCACCCGCGTAATCCCCCGCCTGTGTCGTGCCCAGGTCCATCCTGTCGGACAAGACGTCTCGGAACCTGTTTTTCTTCCTGTGCCTCAACCTCTCCTTCGCTTTCGTGGAACTGCTCTACGGCATCTGGAGCAACTGGTAACCAAAGGGGAGAATGATCGGGGCGGGGGGGGGGTGCAGGCAAGGGGTGGGGGAGACCGGGCACGAGTTGCCTAGTGCCACGTAGTGCCTCGCCCGGGGAGCCCGGGCTTACCTTTGGCACCACCTCTGCTGCTGGAGCTGTCTCCTACCACCCGCACCCATCCGGCTGGCTGGGTTACATCTGTGAGGATCAAGGCCTTGTCGTGTGCTTCCTCCTTCCTCCGCTTCCTCATCTTGGCGGATGGATAAAGCCAGCTCCCCGCACCGCCTGCCTGAGTCTAGCGCACTGGGAATTCATTGGGAGAGCCCTCAGATGTCTCTTTGTGGGGAGTGGCATTTTGGATGTCTGTGTTGGCCTATCTGAGATGCTCGGTTCAGTTGGTGGCTAGGTCTTTGAGTAACCTTTGATTCTAAACGTGGATTTTGGCTTATTTGTTTATTTCTAAAGAATAACCAAATAGCTGAGAAAATGGAGGTTATTCTCTTAACTTTTCTTCTGAAACTGTCTCGTGATTTTTCTCTGGCCTCAACTATAATGGTAGAATCCCATAGAGTTTTCTAAAAACGTCTTTTGAGTTGATTTCTAGTATGGGCATTGCTTTTGTTATTGTTTTTGAAACTGCTTTGGGAAGAAGTAAATTCAGTATAAGTATGGAAGTGAAGTGTTTGCTGTGTAAGTACTTAAGGTTTTGTGAAGCTGTTCTGCTAATACCACACATTTAGCCGTACTTACACCATCTTTAGATCTTACATAGCTGAAAAAAAAAAAAATCTAATGAAAGGACCAGGCATGGTGGGTCATGCCTAGAATCCCAGCTACTCTGGAGGTGGAGATGTAGGAATATTGGTTCTAGACCAGCACGGGCAAAACTTACATAGAGATCAGTTCCATCTCTGCAATAAAATTGACTTGCTGGTATGTGTCTGTACTCTTTAGCAGAAGGAGAATTGAGGTCTGACTGGGCAAAAGCATGACACCCTGTCTGAAAATAACTAAAGCAAAGAAAGGCTGAAGGTATGGCTGAGATGGTAGAGCACATGACTAGCACAAGGTTTTTTGTTGTTGTTTGTTTTTTAAAAGGCTGGTGCTGCAGCCCAGTGTAAAGCACTCATTTAGCCTATATGCTGTTCTAGGTTTACCACCACACCTACAAAAAAATTTAATGAAAGAGAACACTCAGGATATTATTCAAAGCTTCAGGGTGAAATAGACCATGGAGACCAGATTCCAAACTATAATGTTTATGGTTTGATTTCTAATAATTAAACAGACTTAGTTTCTGTCCTTTCAGTTCTGTTTTCAGAGAAGATGGCTATCTTTGACCTTTATTTCTATTGAGATTGTACAATGATAGATGATATCACAAACTTTTGAGACATTTATAGTCTTAAAAATGCAAAAGTGAGCTTTTCAGCTCAACTGTCAGTTCATTTTTATTAAAAATAGTAGTTTAAAAAGGTAGTTTTGCCATTAGTTGGCTGTAAAAGGTACATTGGCACAATTCAGGTTTTTTATATTTTCATTCTTTTTTACTCAGTTTGCTCTGGTTGGCACTCCACCACTCGAACCAACCCCCTATCTGGGCTTTTTGCTGGTTATTTTAGAAATGGAGTCTCATTAATTTTTCTTCAAGGACTTGCCTTAAACTGCCATTCTCCACACCTTAAAACCATTTTGAACATTTTGAATACCCAGGAAGTGCACACGCATGCATATGTGTGTGTGTGTGTATAGAATCTGCAGTCACACATTGATTTTTTTAATTCCATAATTAACACCATTCAATGTATTTTACAGGTTGAAAGTACTATAGTCTAACTCATACTTAAATACTTGTATTTTAATTATGAATATGCAATATTTATAATATATTTTACATTTTCCTCTAAATTATGTCCTATTTTTGGTATATCTTCTAGTTGTATCTTGGTTATATTGTTATATCTGTACATTTGCTTTAGTTTCTTTGTATAGTAATGCATTATATTTCGTGGTGGATTTATTACCTCAGAATAAATCACGTTGTGAAGTATTTTGTTCATAGGATTCATATCTGAAGTGCTTAAACAATCTCTTTCCTGGAAAGTTAGGTGAATATACCTAATTTCTTACATATATGGCACAAGTAAGAAAAGTACTAAAACTATTACTTTCCACGTCATTTGTCAACAGATGCCATTGCATAAGGAAAATGGCAATGATAGGTAACTAGCTCTTCTGTCGTTAGATGATTGGCTCTTTTGCCTTTGAGTGACTGGTTCTGTTGTACCCTTCCAGTTTATCCTTTCATTGTGTTCAAATCCTTCAGATTTGAAATGTAATCCTGTTATTGGTCTTACCATAATCACTTAGCAGCTATTTGTCTTTTTATGCTTATGTATATGAACTTTCTTTTTTTTTTTTTTTTTGGTTGGTCATGGGGCTTGAACTCTGGGTTTGGGCTGTCCCTGTGCTCTTCAGCACAAGGAGAGCGAACTACCGCTTGAGCCACAGCGCCACTTCCTGTACATGAACTTTAATATCCACAATCACTTAGTCCCCATTTAAATTTTTATCAGTGATATGAGGCACATTGAGAAATTATTCTGACCTTTTCATAATCTGGTTGCTTTTCTTCCTCCTCTTCCTCCTGTTCTTCTGCTTCTTCCTTCTCATTTCCTTTTGTGCCAGTCCTAACACTTGAACTTAGGGTTTTAACCTTGTCCCTAAGCTTTTGTGCTCAAGACTGGTGCTCTACCATTTTAGCCACAGCTCCACTTCCAGCTGGAGATAAGGTTCTCGGAGACTTTCCTGCCTAGGCTGGCTTTGAACCTTGATCCTCAGATCTTAGCCTCCTGAGTAGCTAGGATTACAGGCATGAGCCACCAGCATCCAGCTCATAATCTAGCCTTTTATGTTATTTAGAGACTACAATTTTCAGTTCCTTTGGTTGCTTTCAATAATTCATTAATTTTTTTGTGTGACTGAATTATCTCTTTATAGGGCAACAGCTTTTAAGTTCCTTACGTTTCCATAAAGTTCCTTAGATTTCTCACCAAAATCTTTTGTTTTAGTCATTTCTGTCTTCGTCTTCATTATAGAGAAATAAAGTTCAAGGACTGAGTGCTGGTGGCTCATGCCTGCAATCCTAGTTACTCAGGAGACTGAGATCTGAGGATTATGGTTCAAAGCCAGCCCAGGTAGAAAAGTCTCCCTGAGACTCTTATCCCCAATTAACCACTCAAAAAATAGAAGTGGAGCTGTGGCTCAAAGTGGTAGAGCACACTAGCCTTAAGCAAAAGAGCTCAGGGACTGTGTCCTGCATCTGAGTTCAAGCCCCATTAACACCCTGTGAGCCCTGTATAATAGCTTGGCAGAGGCATCTCATGGCCTCTCAGGAAGGCGTTCATATACCTCATCTAACTAACCCCTTCTCCCTCTCATCTTCCCTCCATAGCCTGGTATGGATAGAGAGGAGCAGGACATCTAATAACAGCCAACTTTGGCCTTGCATTGTGTAATATCCTGGGCCTGAGTAGGGTTTAGCCTTACCCCCACTAGCCTATGGCTATGGCTCTGCCTAGACTATGGCTACCTCTTTCTTAGAGGTGGCTGACCTTTACCAGTGATGACCAGGGGGTAGATGCCTACCTTTTGCCCAGCAACAGATGGCTTTTGTTTCCTCTCCTCTCTGCTGCAGCTTTTCCTTGTGTGTGGAGTGATATCCCTCTTCTATGTCGTGATTAAATGTGGTTTTTCTGTAGGTAATTAATTTCTCACGAACAGGGACTGGACTGTAGAATTTTAGAGAAGCAGGCCTGCTGTTTTGTTTGTATTATAATCAGCTGATGTGTTTGTCTTTTGCAGCTTAGGCCTGATCTCCGACTCTTTCCACATGTTTTTCGATAGCACTGCCATTTTGGCTGGATTAGCAGCTTCTGTCATTTCAAAATGGAGAGACAATGATGCTTTCTCCTATGGGTAAGACTGGAACAGATCTTTTTTTCTTCATAGATCTTAAGGTCAATAAGTCTTTTCAGTTTGAACCTATCTGAACCCTTGTAGACCTGCTCAGGCCTTCTCTTGTTCCTTTCTACTCACCTCCCTTTCTTACCTTCATGGATTGTTTTGCCTGTTTTCAAAGAATAAAGAATTGCGATGTATAGTATATTATGTTATCTATAGTATTTTATTTCTACCTATATTATTTTGCTTGAGGAGGGTAGGCTTTTTTTCTCTTGTTCCTGTCTTCATGCACATTGTCTTTCATCTTCTTCTGAATTCTCCCTCCCTTTTCTCCCACTCTTCTCTCCTTTCTTCCCTCCCTCTTTTCCTCTCCCCTTTCTTCTCTGCATTCATGATTCCTCTTTCTCTCTTCTCCTCTCTCCCTCCCTCTCCTTCTTCTCACTGCATACCTTTTCTTTATTATTTCTTTCTCCCTGTTCTTTTCCTCTACAGTTTACCATTGTGTCTCTCATGGTGTTTCCAGTTCTCGTTCCTAAACCTTTTCTGCTTCGTGTCTTTTCTCTTACTTTCCCAGTCAATGTTTCATTTATTCACCTTCCCCCTTTTCTGTGTAGTTTTTCTGAGTCCCCCTTCTGCCATATTCATATTCCTACATATGTTGTCTCTTAAGTCTTTGGGTCTGTTTTTTTGTTTGTTTTTGGTATTGATACTAGAAGTTTGAACTCGGGGCCTTCTGCTTGCTAGACAGCCACACTATTCCCTGAGCCACATACCCCAAGCCCTTTTGCTAGTACTATTTTTCAAATAGGATTTCTTTCCTTTTTTTTTTTTTTTTTTTTGGTCTAAGCTAGCCTGGACCACAGTCCTCCTGTTATACTTCCTGCACAGCTGGGATGACAGGCACATACTTCTGCACTGTTTTTTTCTTCATTAAGATAGGGTTTTCAGAACTTTTTTATTAGACTGGCCTTGAACCAAGATCCTCCTGATACGAGCCTTCCAAGTAGCTAGGATTACATGTGTGAGCCACTGTGCCTGGCTTCTCTTTTACTTGTATTCCTTTTTCCTCACCAGCTTTGATTTTGTTCTTTAGTATGCATGCATGTGTGCATGTGCGAGCGCACACATACACACACCCACACACAAACACAAACACACAAGATTCCTGCCTTGAAGAAACTTGTAGTTTGATAGGAAAAGAGTTCTGCAAAAATCCTGTAACAGCTTCCATTGTGACAAAGTCTAAAAGAGAGAAGTGAAATTCTGTGTCAATTCCCCGTTCTGGTTACCCAAAGGGATATGGTAATTTGTAAAATAAAAAGTTAGACAAAAGAACCTATTTTACTGTCTTGTAGTATAAAATAGAAGATCCAGTATGCCTATCAATTCCCACAGCTTGAAGTAAAAAAGCTAAGGAAAATGTCCAGGCCCCGAGTTTAGACCCCTGTTCGAGTGTGTGCATCACCCCCCCCATGCGCGCGCACACACACACACACACACACATGTATATACATGTCCACATGTGTACCCATGCACACATGTGCAATACTAAATGGGCTGAGCATAGGTATAAGCTCCAGTTCAAGATGCTCATAATAGAAGAGCAACTGCAGTAGAAGAAACAGCAGGGGGCTTGGAGAACAGGCCAAGACTGCTAGTTACACAAAGTTATTTCTGTTTTGTCACACTTGTAACTTTTGAAAAGCAAATCCATATAGTAGGTAGTTAGGTGCATGTATAGATGCTCATACATGTATGTGTACATACATGTCTTATTTTGAACCTGGAGGAAGAATTTAAACATCAGCCATAATTAGGCTATAACACTTTTTGCAAATGAATATGGCTTAGTTCTAATAGTTGCTCTGTTCAAGACTTTGCAATCATGTCTAGTTTTCAAAAGCTTGTCATTTTAAGTCTACAATCAAGTATGACAAATGTATTAATTTAATAAAGCCAGGAGTCTAAGAATTTATCAGAATTTATGGAGAGTGCACTACTAATCTAGGAACTAGAAACAAAAAGTTAGCAAAAAAAATTTTGCCTTTGATCTTGAAAGTTAGTGATCTTAAGGTCTGAAGGCTTTCAATTCAGCACTAGCTACAAGACTAGGGGTAGACTAATAGAAAACGTGGGGGCTTTTTTTTTGAATAGTAAATCCTGTTATTAACTAAATTCCTCATAAGTGAAAGTTGTAGAAATCTACAAATTATTTGAACCTAAATGCACTTTTCTGTAGAAAAACAATATGCTTTGCAGTAACCTATTAATTATTTCTGAGTAGAGAAATACAGATTATGTTGAAATGTACTTAAAAGGATTAACAAAACAAATAGGATCCATTTAAAAAGTATGTTCTATTGAAAATTAACCAGACAACTTGTGGGTCAAGACAGGAGGAATAAACTGGGAGACAGTGAGGGAAGGGGTGACATTGTCCAAAAAGAAATGTACTTATGGGGCTGGGAAGGTGGCTCAGTGGTAGAGCGCTTGCCTTGCATGCATGAGGCCCTGGGTTCGATTCCTCAGCACCACATAAGCAAAAAGAAAAAAGCCGAAAGTGGCACTGTGGCTCAAGTGGTAGATTGCTAGCCTTGAGCTGAAGAGCGGAGGGACAGTGCCCAGGCCCAGAGTTCAGGACCACGACCAGACTCCCCCCCCCCCAAAAAAAAATGTACTCATTACCTGCCTTATATGATGGTAACCTCTCTGTACATCACCTGTATGATAATAACAAAAAAATAAAGAACAGTTTGTTCTCACCAGCATACACACCTGTGGTCCCAGCACTCTAGTGACTGAGGCGTGAGCCCTATAGGGAGTTCAAGTCCAGCCTAAGAATATCTTTACACAGGGCGATCTCTCTCAAAAAAAATTAGTTGTTCATTTCACTTTTAGAAACATTTTTACAGCCAGGAGCCAGTGAGTCATTCCTATGATTCTACTCAAGAGGTTGAGATCTAAAGATCAAGGTGTGAAGCCAGCTGGGGCAGGAAAGTCTTTGAGAGTTTTATCTCTAATTAACCACCAAAAAAGCCCTCAGTGGAGCTGCGCTCAAGTGGTAGAGTGCTAGTTTTGAGCGCAAAAGCCCAGGGACAGTGTTCAGGCTCTGAGTTCAAGTCCTCCCTCCCACCCCCATTTACAATAAAAATTACATTATTTAGAAGTTGACCTAGAAAACTAGCAAAACCTCCCCCCATCCCTGCCCATGCTAGTCTTGAACTAGTAATCTTCCTGTTTTGACCTCCCAAGTGCTGGGGTTACAGGTGTTGATTACAAGATTATAGGTATGAACCACCACACCTGGCCTGTAAAATCAGTTTTGATGCTCATGTTTAGGACAAGAGTGATTAAGTGATGCTAGCACACTTTGGGTAAAGTTTGAACATATAAATATTAAGCTAAAGTTGTTTCTCTGACTTTAAGCCAATATACCTTGTGGGAAAATCAAGTCTTTCTTCAATACCTCACACAGGTAGGAAGCAGAAAGGTTCAGGAGCTCACGGGAAAAGACGAGGTATTTTAAAAAAGAGTTCAATAAGAATTATGTAAAGCTAAAATTAATTCTGTAGATAATTTACGATTTTTGCTAAATTTATTAATCTTTGAGAATTAATGAAAATACTATAAATCTCAAGTTGTCCCTGAGATAATTCAGGTTACTTTTACTTGAGAGTAAAGCTCTCCTTTCTGAAGATTTAAAAGCTGAAAGGTACAGAGCAGAACACTTAAGGAGTTCTTGGGAAAGCAGTAAGTAAGTAAGTTCTGAAAGTCTCTATTTCTAGCCCATTTCTTCCATTATTTTATCTTTGGATTCTTCTTCCTTTGCCCACTCATCCTGTTCCTGTTTCTCCAGTGGCACCTTGAGATTTACCTTTCTCTGAATGGTCTTTCTAAACCTACTTACTCTAAGAAGGTCTTTTGATTGGCTTGTAGACATCTGGTGTTTTGTGCTGTTCTGCTATTAAACATAATCCATAATTCATTCTCACTAATTCCCTCAGTGTATGTAAAAGAAAATGGACTCTTTTATGAATGTGAGGACTTTGCTGGCACTTATAACTATTTGATATGGTTTAGAATGTCTAAAATAGATAAATGCATGATTTTACTTTAAAGAAATGGTTCATTTGTTTCTCTTTGCTTCTCTAGGTATGTGAGAGCGGAAGTCTTGGCTGGCTTTGTCAATGGCCTATTTCTGATCTTCACTGCTTTTTTCATTTTCTCAGAAGGAGTGGAGGTATAGTAGATAGTGATTAGAGTCAGCAAATTCTCTAATGAAAATGTTTATTCACTGAAGGCATGAAATAGAGCTCTTTTCAACTACTGTTATTTGTTGAGGACAGTCTTGGATAAGACAAAGTATTATGTGTGTACCACAGGAGCTTACAAACCATTGAAAAATTAAAATAGATGTGAAACTTCCTGCAGTGGAAAGTGTGAAATGACTGTCTTCAACACCATAGAAATAAAGATCTAACCTGGGTACTGAGGTCAGGGGGGAACTTCTCAGCTCACATAGATCTTGAGAGCTTTTCTAGCAGACCTTTAATATTTAATATTTAGTGTTGATTTTAATAATAAACAAAATGTTAAGATTTAGTGCATTTACAAAGGGCAACATTTGATGATAGCAAAGTGGAACAAGTTTATAGCCAAATAGTCACACTTGTAAATACTTATTTATTTCTCTAAGAACTACAACTGTTACTTTTTCTAAAGTCTGTGAGCACTAGTTTTATTTCTCCAAATCTTTTGTCAGTTATCTTTGAATACATTTAAATCTGAAATGATTAAAGTTTGTAATATTGCCTTATGTTTTTATCAGTTGATCCATCACAGATTATATTGATGCTGTTGTATCTGTTGTTTTATGTATTTGCCAGAGAGCCTTAGCTCCTCCAGATGTTCACCACGAGAGACTGCTGCTTGTTTCAATTCTTGGGTTCGTGGTAAATCTCATAGGAATATTTGTTTTTAAGCATGGAGGTCACGGACATTCTCATGGCTCAGGTATGATGGGTAGAACCCTTTCTCTCTTCCTTTTCATTCTTCTCCTGTCCTGATTACTTGCTTTAGAGAAATTGATCACTGTGAAAGTTTAACCATATATTGATTTTTAATAACAAATGCAGTGTGTTAAAAGACTTTCGAAGTTTCTAAGACCCCAGTCTTGCCTCTGTACAATGGTGATTTTGCTGTGGATCCCTCCAGGTATCTGCAGCTTTTCTCTCCAGAAGAGATACCATTCCTACAAAACCAAGTATTCAGGAAATACAGAACAAATGTAGTCACTAAAAATTTAGTGTGAGACAGCTATACCATATAGTGTGTTGTTGAGATCCTGCTATTTTGTGTATAGTTATTCCATTTTGTCTGGGTAAGAGGTATATAAAACTTCCTGGTGTGGTTCACTTCGATATTTTTAACCATGGTTAAAAATGGATGGATTCAGGTCACTAAATCCATATAAGTATGCCTGTGAACATAATACAAGTGTTTTTCCATATATATGCTTATTGTACCTGTTAATCACATGGAACTATTTATATTTACATTCTAGTTAATTGAAATGAAAATAAAAACTTTACCTCCTCACTTACATTTGTGACATTTAAGTCACAAATTATTTTACTTGTGACATTTAAGTGTTCAATAACCACAGGACACTACTGTGTGGACGGTGCAGATAGAGAGCTTTTCCTTATTGCAGAAAGTTCTTTGAGTACCTTATGCTACCCTGAAATATCTAAGCAAAATTGGTCAAATATAGTATTTTTGTAAACATTTTCTTTTTAATGGGCATTTGCAAACTGCCTACTGAAATGTCTATAATTCACATATACTCCAAGAAGTGAATTTACTAATTCTCCACCCATGTCAATATTTAACATTGCAAATTTAATACAGTTTTGCTGATAATTGGATAAAAATGTTTTCTAATTTTATTTCAAATTTCTCTAATCATCAGTGAAGTTAAATATCTTTCTGGCATGTTCTTTCAGGCTAGTCTTCTAGAATTTTCTACGATGTTTTTTGCTAGGGTCTATTGTCTTTTCAATCCATTTATTATATAAGTATTTTTACAACTCTCGTGCTTTGTGTTTTATATGTTGCAAATCTTTTGCTATTATATAGCTTGTCTAAATATTTAAGGGTTTGTTCTTTGAAAATAGTGTAGTTTTGTCTTAAAAGTTTTTTAAAATATATTTTATGCTTTTTTAAGGCGTTTGTTATTTCCAGGACATAAACGCAATCTTTTAAATTTTTT